CTTTAGAAAAGAATAGAGATTCCATGATACTTCTTATTAATATTCATGCCAGAATTAAAGAGTCATGAGCATAAGCTCAATAATTCAACGATGGCAATAGCTATCGATCTGAGATTTTCAGTAATCAAAAGAGTAGGACTTCAAAGATCTTTTTGACTGATACTACAAAAGACAAAATTATTTTAAAACTCTTCGTCTTCGCAAAATATTCAAATACTAAAATTCAATAGAATTCTATAGAATTCAGCTGAATAGATATGTGATTTTGTTTGCTCGGCATTAACATATAAGAAAATAATCACATGAATCGTGCCTTGAACTGTAGATGCGAAGTTCCTCTTTCTAAAGCACATATCAATATCAAAATTTCTTTGAAACAGAACAAAGTTTTCATGCATTTTTTTTGAAAGTTTTGCAGGAGATGACGAGTTTTAAATTTACTTTATCTTATATAGTATTAGATAAAAAGACGTCCGGAGTTCTGTTCTTTCGGGTACTAAAAACTACAGATCGATAGTTATTGCCGTTGCTGAGTTATTGAGTTTACATCCATTCCCTCTTTAATTCAGACGCAGACATTAATTCAATATTGTCACTCTTTCTTCAAATTCATCATCATCATCACACATAAAAATAGTCATACAGAACAGTTCTGTTCTTAATCTGAATTAACCACCTTATAGAGCATCTAGATAGCAGAATCTCATTTATATTCCACAAGAATTTTACTAAAAATAATTTATTTTTTTAATATAACCCAAATGTCTTTTTTATTTATAGAATATTCTTGGTGATGGAATGGATTGTCATAGTAAGTTTAATTAAAATAAAACACTATTATTCTAAACAATATATATATATATATTTTTCAGTGCTTGCTCTTAAACAAATAGCACGTGATAATAATTTTTCAATACCAGATTTATTTCTTGATCCAGGTTATGCATTAAGTAATCATTTTAATTTATCAACAAGTCAAGTAACAACAAATATAGCTAATTCATTTATTTGTTATGGTGCAGTTGTACCCGATGGTTATGGTTGTTCATATAATGTTCATTCAGATAATATTCTTTTTTGTGTATCATCATTTAATAGTTGTTCAACAACAAATTCACGTGAATTTGCTGAATCATTAACTGATACACTTTATGAAATTCGTGATCTATGTACACTTGTACAACGTCAACAACAAACAATAGCTCTTCGACGTCCATCATATGCTGCAAAATTAGCAGCTCAGAAATTTATTTCATCTAATTCAATCGAATCAAATGAACATAACATTACTTAATATTAATGCACAAAAAAGAATAAATAAAAAAAATAAAAAAATAATTTATCAAAAAATATTGTTCGTTTTTGTTTTTTTATGTCTTTTTGCTAATAATTAAGATTTTCGAGCAAGAAAAAAGAAATATGGTGTAAAAATACCACTTTCACCACCACGTACTAAACCTACAGCAGCTTTTTCAAGTATTTCAAGTGTTTCAATACTTCCTTGAGCAGCTATCCAAGTTTTTTCCATAAACCAAACCATATTACGTGTTAACCATCGACCAATTGATGATGCACGAAGATTATTTAATGAAAAAAATGAATCACCACCTTTTAATGGTTGATACCATGGAATATCACCTTCGGGTATTATTTGATTTTCTTCAATAGTAAAACCAACCGATTTAAGATCTGATATTAATTGATGAGTTGTTTTTAATTCAGGCAATGCATCACCTTCTTCAATTAAACGTTTTGTTTCATTATGTATAGGATTTTCTTTATCATATATATCAGTTAAACACCAATCATAACCAGCAAATGAGCCACCTGGTTTAAGAACACGAAAAATTTCAGCAA